CTCGGACGCACGTGTCTTGGAATGCATGAGTTCCATTTCTGAAGTTGACCTGGATGGTGCTTTCGGTTGGGTACGTGCACCGTTACAGAATCTCGTGGCTTTGACTAAAAATGTTTTTAGCTCTATCTTCATTGTTCGGAGGATGAGCTTGTATTCAACAAAGGTAAATCACCATTACGCCCTTCTTCGACATCATTTACCAACTAGCGAAATGTTCTGAAGAGGTTTCGGAACCCCACACGCCAGTTAGAGGTGGAAATCCAGGCAAGCATAATCCGCGCACGCCGGCCGGCTTTTTGGCATCTTCAACTTTCCCTCTCACCAAAAAGCTCTTCAAACTGGACGCCAATGCAGCCATCTTTGTACCTTCTCGACTGTCCTCGCCTGTCTTAGGCAACAACATTGCCGGAGACAAGTCAACAAATACGTTGGACAGCGAATCATCGGACGAAGAGAGTCCGCACGAACAGTATGTGCGAACAAAGCTGAAGCTAGATGAACTCTCTACGGTGCCTAAATCCAACGCGTCCGCGCTCTCCCAGTTGCCTGCTCTGAGAGCACGACTGGCGACTATCCAGAAGAACTATTTCTTTGATGCAAAGGAGGCAGAGCTCATGTACGAGGCACGCCGCAAAGAGCTCCTCCAGGCCAAATTGAGAGGGGAGTTGCCTGTTGAGGCGAAAGACCCGCAGCCCGCTTCGCCGAGCCTCAAAGAACCCGTTCCCATGAAACCACATCCAGCGTCGTCGGACGTGTTTGACGACAATTCCGATACCGGCGACGACAGTGGGGGGATGCTGGAGCTACTCGAGATGCCGACAACGGAGGTCACTCCTCAGGGTGTCACGGTTCAAGTCCGTGACATGGCGCTTCCCAAGAATTGGTCTGGACGCTCACCAAAACATTTGTTACAAGACAATGTCTCGAAGACGGACAAGTATGCAGCCATCTCGTTCAGTATTATGTCCGGATCCAGCCGAGCGAAGCGGGCGTCAGTCAGTATCCGCTGGGCCAGCAGTCGTACTAGTCAATGGTCAATGGAGGACGTGGCGTGTCACGACGATTCGCAGGCCGAACAGTATATCGCTACCGTCGCTCTTCATGCACTCTCTTTTCCTCCATCAGAGGGCTTCTCGACCAGTGGCGCGTCGACCACAGGCAATGTTACCTTCTTCCGCTCGTTTCCTCCGCAATTCCGGGATTTGTGGAATGAGCTTGAGGCCAAGCGAAAACTCGAAGAAGACAGAATTAATCGTGAGATCTGGGGTAAGCTTCGTTCCATTATTCAGTCCAAGATGGAGACCGGCAAGGTATGTTCACAACTAAAGTACGATTGGATGGACATATTGATGCTTTCGACGCAGGTCGCGGGCAAAATCGCGAAGTCTATCGCCGATGCGAAGGAGTCAAAGTTGCATCGGCAAGTCCTTGCGAAGGACAATGGCGGGCCCAACGAACAACTTAGATTGTCGTTGCTGGCTCGCCGAGAGAGCCCTCTATATCAAAAAATGCTTGTAAGCTGCTCGTTGCGTTGTCTGTAACTCATCGCTGAACAACATTCCAAAGGTCCATCGTAATGCTCTTCCTATTGCTGCCTATCGACAGACTATAGTCCAGGCGCTGGAAGAATCGCAAGTCCTTGTCTTGAGTGGTGAAACTGGGTGGTATGGTTATACTGATTCCGTAAATGGCATTGACTCAAAAATTACCAAGTGGCAAATCTACTCAATTGCCTACTTTCCTGTTAGAAGATCAGTTGTCTCGCGGAAAACGCTGCAAGATCTACTGTACAGAACCCAGGAGAATTTCAGCGATTTCTCTTGCTCAACGTTTGTATCTTGCTGTTATAAAAGCTACTCTTTTGTTCACATCAGTATCATTCCAGGGGTGTCCCGGGAACTTGGTGAGCCAGCCGGTGCCGTTGGAACGATCAATTCTCTCGTTGGTTATTCCATACGCCTGGAAAGTAATACGTCCAAAAATACACGCCTCGCTTTCGTTACTTATGGCATTGCACTGAGAATGCTTGAAAGTGGCAGCGGTCAGGATGGCCAGGGCATGGCGTTTGACGACATCACGGTATGTCTTGAAGGCTGTAGATACTGGTTCTTCACTGAAATTCCCGTATAGCACATCATTATTGATGAAGTATGTTTGTGCACTTCCGTGTCGGGATGCTCTCATTTACATGGCTTCCAGGTCCACGAGCGATCCATTGAGTCCGACTTCCTGCTCATTGTCCTCAAGCAACTGTTGAGGCATCGTCCAGATCTCAAGTATGTTATCGCATTAGTCTACGTGACATTACCTATTGATGGTAGCCCAGAGTTGTTCTTATGTCTGCCACGGTCAACGCAGAGAAAATCTCCGAGTACTTTGACGGATGCCCTATGCTCCATGTTCCAGGCCGGACATTCCCTGTGGAAGTGAAGTACCTTGAAGATGCGATCGAGTATACCGGATGGTCAATTTCGCCAAATTCGGCTTACGCGCGCAGACGTATGTTTGGCATTTATAGATCGTGTGTGCTGCTAACCAACGTGGACAGCCCACGACAAGTACTTCCATGGAAAGACTGAGTGGTCGGAGGAGCAGAACGTTGTGGATGACGACGATGACGAAGAAGAGCAGGACAACATCAAGCTCGAGAAGCGGTATTCTCCCAGCACTGCGGAAACAATCAATCGTCTGGACGACAGGCAAATCCCATACGATCTCATTGTCCGCCTTTTGGAGCGCATCTGCTTTGAAGACACGGACAAGATTGCTTTTTCTCCTGCGGTCTTGATTTTTATGCCTGGCATGGGCGAAATCCGGCGTCTCAATGATATGCTTTCGGAGCACCCGGCGTTTAGTAGTGACGATTTCATCATTTATCCTCTTCATTCCACGCTTCCCAGTGAGAGTCAAACCGCCGTCTTTGATATTCCTCCTCATGGTGTTCGGAAGATTGTCATCGGTGAAGACTTTTTCCATCGGCCGTAGATCTCTTGCTAATTTTTTTCGATCAGCCACGAACATCGCGGAAACAGGTATTACAATTCCTGATATTACTACGGTCATTGATACCGGGAAGCATCGAGAAATGAGGTGAGTTACAAGGTCTTTATTGCCGGATGAAATATTTCATGGCTTTTGATCAGGTTTGACGAAAAGCGCCAAATCAGCCGTTTGGTGGAAAGTCACATTGCCAAGAGTAACGCTGCTCAAAGACGTGGCAGAGCCGGTCGTGTGCGGGAAGGACTCTGTTATCATTTGTTCACGAAAGTACGGCATGACACGAAGGTTTGTATTTTACAATCCCCGTATAAAAATGAATCTGACCCGTTTGTAGATGGCAGAGCATCCGCTTCCTGAAATGATGAGGCTCAGTCTATCCGACCTTGCCTTGCGTATCAAGATCATGAAAGTCAATCTGGGTCCCTCCATAGAAGACGTGTTGTCTCGCGCGCTTGACCCGCCTTCGTCTATCAATATTCAGCGTGCCATCAACATGCTTGTTGAAGTTCAAGCCCTCACACCGTCCGAACAGATCACTCCCATGGGTCGCTTGCTGAGCAAGCTCCCAACGGATGTACACCTCGGCAAGTTCCTGTTAATGGCTACAATTTTCCGGTGCTTGGATCCTGCGCTGACCATTGCTGCCGCACTCAACTCCAAGTCGCCCTTCGTCACGCCTTTCGGTCTTGAACACGAAGCCGACCGGGTGAGGGCTTCATTCCGGCTGGGTGAGTCATTATAATAGCGAGCCCGTTCATGCCTTTAACGCACCTTCGAAGGAAACTCTGATTTCCTGACTCTCCATAATGTGTTCGCATCTTGGAGGCGGGCGTCGGAGAACACTGGCTACGCATGGAAATTCTGTCGTGTCAACTATCTCAGTCACCAGGTAATATCTTTGAGCTGCGTGATGAAGTCGATTTCTAAGTCGAATCGTATGTAGAACCTTCAACAGATTGAAGAACTACGCCAGCAATTCCTTGGGTAGGTGCTCCATTTCGGTCGTCTCTATACATATTTAACTGAGGTCTATTCAAGCTATCTCATTGATACCGACTTCATGCAAGTTGATAGACAGTTCTCGCGCGAGTTTAGCAGGCGAGATTATTTTTTTCAATGTATTGATCAATGTCATCTCATCGTATGAAACGACAGAGCGCGTTATAGTCGCGGACGTGCTACCTTTATTTCTGTGCCAGAATCTGTGAATGTGAACTCGGAGAATATCGCTCTTGTCAACGCTGCACTGGTGGCTGGTCTCTACCCTAAGGTACTAGCGGTAGACTCGAGCAATGGCCAGATGCGCACGGTGTCAAGCAACCAAAGCGTGTCATTTCATCCCTCTTCGGTCAGCTTTGGTAAACGTCCAACCGATCTTGGAGTGAATTATATTAATTATTTCACTTTAATGTCCGTGACTCCGCACTTGGCTTTTTCTGTGACTAAATGTCTGCACAGGCACTCCAAGAAGCTGTATGCCTGGGAAACTGGTCCTGTAGATGATCTAGCCCTGGCTATTCTGTGTGGCGACTCGGATTTCAAGGTTCCTCTTTTATTTGCGTCCTCAGAAGTGCATCACACTGATCATGCACGCAAACAGCTCATCGCCGACTCGGTAGCCGTCGATCGCCGGATTCGATTCAAAGTCGATCCGAAGACGAATGTCGCATTGAAATGTCTACGCGATAGGGTAACTTCTATTCTTGCTCAAATATTCGGCGGACGGCTTCTCACAGAATCCCATGTGCGCTGGAACGATATCGCGACCATGGTGCTTGGTCGGATGAAGGTGGAGGGAAACGAGCCAGAGACGTACGCTGTCTTAAGCTGATAGTACTAGAATACAGTTCATACATACACCATGGTACTAGAGCAAGGGCCTGCGTTTTTTCATACAACTTGAGAGGGCGATCGGAAAGTAGTAGTAGGATACTTAGTAGTGACAGATTAATAAGAAGGTTCGGTCTGTTCTCGTGCGCGTGTCGTATTTTATGGAATACGCCCATGTGGCGCAATGGTTAGCGCGTCGCTTTCCTAAGGCGAAGGTTGTGGGTTCGAGTCCCACCTTGGGTTTCATCAAACATTCGCTGTGTCTTTTCCTTGCCCTGGGGTTTTGACTCCAACTGACCAATTGATTTTGGTTGCAACATCCGGCAGTTAACGGGCGTCACTTTTTTGGCATTGAAATTATGTAATGCGCCGAATATGGCAAAAAATACCACGTGATCGCGTGACCGGAACATCGGTCAAACGATCTTCGTGGAAGTTAGTGGGAGCAAATGTATAAGTACATAGACAATTGAGTGCATATTTTTGAACGCTTCTAGAGCTTCTGAAGTCGAAATGTTGCGATGCTTGGACAGACGGGAGAACGATAAGTCAGGTCGGGCGGAAAAAGTCGGACACACAGACGGTGTTTGCCGTTTGCGGCGAATGCTTAACCCACTGACCTTGCCATTCAATATCAATATTCAGTCTTAAGTCCAACTCCAGCTGGCTGCTTCCGCTTGCGTTCCTAATCCTGCAGTTGCACATTCGCCTGGTGTCTAGCACTGAAAATGGCCTCTGTCCAGGTCTCTTGGAAGGTACGATGACGTTCGAGGCTTTGAATTTCTTATGCCCACGTGATACGCCGCTCTAGTTCATGACACCACGGACGACGGCGCGCTTTGTGCGAAGATTTTCGACAACGAGACTCATGGTGAGCCGGCAATGTTTGTGTCAACTCCGATCTCTCATCTTTTGCAGGCACAAGCACACCGTACGGAGCGAGACACGTTCGGCGACCTCCAAGTGCCAGCCGATCGATACTGGGGCGCGCAGACCCAGCGGTACGTCTTGGCACCTGTATTCCCTGTTCAACGCGTCAATAACTTTATCGCAGTTCTCTTCAAAACTTTGACATCGGCGGTCCTACAGAGCGCCTGCCTCCGCCACTCATCAAGGCGTTCGGCGTCTTGAAGAAGGCGGCCTCGATTGTCAATGTCGGCTATGGCATGGATTCTAAGATCGGCGAGGCCATCCAGCAGGCTGCCGACGAGGTATCTACTTTTACCGTTTACATAAGTCCTTGACAGGCAGAGTTAATGCCCGCGATAGGTTATCTCCGGTAAACTCATCGACCACTTCCCGTTAGTCGTTTTCCAGACTGGGAGCGGTACCCAGAGCAACATGAACGCGAATGAAGTGCGCTTGATTTCATACATGTATCTCACATTTGGATCTCACGTGTGTGTTGCCTGTGGATATGTAGGTCATTTCCAATAGGGCCATTGAAATTCTCGGAGGCGAGCTGGGCTCGAAGAAGCCCGTGCACCCAAACGACCATGTCAACAAGAGCCAGAGCAGCAACGATACGTACGTCTACTCCCACGTTAACGTGTGTTGGCTTTTGTAAGCGGATAATGATAGTTGTATGTCTTCAGATTCCCCACCGCGATGCACGTGGCGGCCGTCACGGAAATCACGCAGTCGCTGTTGCCCGCGCTCACTGAGCTGCGAGATGCGCTCGACGCGAAGGCGAAGGCGTTCGATAACATCATCAAGATCGGCCGCACACACCTGCAGGACGCGACGCCGCTGACGCTTGGGCAGGAGTTCAGCGGGTATGTCGCGCAACTGACGAACGGTATTGAGCGCGTCAAGGGCACGCTTCCGCGCTTGAGCATGCTTGCACAGGGTGGTACGGCCGTTGGTACTGTCAGTTTTACGCCCTATTTTTATTTTTCCTGGCTTATCGTTGTTTCCTTATGCAGGGTCTGAACACGAAAAAGGGTTTTGACGTCAAGGTGGCCGCGGAAATCTCAAAGCTGACTGGCATCGAGTTTAAGACCGCGCCCAACAAGGTAACGTAATATGACATTTACTCTGGCTTCCACTGAGACCGTCATTTCTCTTCAGTTCGAAGCTCTTGCTAGCCATGACGCGCTCGTCGAGGCTCACGGCGCATTGAACGTCGTCGCGGTGTCGCTGATGAAGATCGCGAATGACATTCGGTTCCTAGGCTCTGGCCCCCGCTGTGGTTTCGGCGAGCTGAGCTTGCCGGAGAACGAGCCGGGCAGCAGCATCATGCCAGGCAAAGTGAACCCGACACAGTGCGAGGCGATGACGATGGTCGCCGCACAGGTCATGGGCAACAACACGACCGTCAGCATCGCAGGCTCGAACGGGCACTTCGAGGTGCGTACGGTGGCCATCCTATCCATCCGTACATGCATTAGGCTGTATCGGCCGTTTTTTTGACTGACTCGCGTTGTTTTCTGATTTGTTCTGATTTGTTCTGTTCAGTTGAATGTGTTCAAACCCGTCATCATCAAGAACGTCCTCCAAAGCATCCGGCTTCTGGCTGATGGTGAGTGACTTGTTTGCCGATCACTCATTAATACTAACGGATCATTTATTGATTGCTTTCTTCAGCGTCCCGCTCGTTCACGAAGAACTGCGTCGTGGGTATCCAGCCCAACGAGAAGCGGATCAGCACGTTGTTGAACGAGTCGCTCATGCTGGCGACGATTTTGAACGGCCATCTTGGCTATGACAGTGCGTAACGTCAATTCAGACCCTGCGTGTTATATTCAGAACCGGCGTGATCTCTGTGTTGTTATCCATTGCTTCCCTGCTCATTATTACCGCCGGTGACTGACAGACCGATCGGTAACTAATGATACGTTCACTAGATGTGGCCAAGTGCGCGAAGAAGGCGCACAAGGAGGGCACGACGTTGAAGGAGGCGACTGTCGCACTAGGGTTCCTCACGCCGGAGGAGTTCGACCAGGAGGTTCGCCCCGAGCTGATGCTCCATCCTGACCCATAAAGTTCTCACGATGGAAGAGAGAGGGGCTGCATGTGCGTGTACTCTGCAGGAGGCCGGCTGGTGTAACAGTACAGCCGGAAGGTAGCAGAGCCGGATAAAAGCCGGGTAGGGTTAGGCAACCAAAGTGTACTTATTATACAGTGTTTTACGAATTCTGACTGGCTTTCGCATGGAGACACTGATCTGCTTCGATACTTGTCTTATATGTATGTAAGTAGACGGCATGTGAGTGGTTCGATGCCCCCTCTCTGAAACGATATATGGGCAGAAGATGTGGGGTGATAACAGCGATTGATCTGTATGAGGTACGATATGTGGCTTAGAATGCAGCACGTTCCAGGGCATGTCCGCAGTTCATTGACAGGTGAGAGAGCAGACCGGATTGAGTGCGCTTGAGGTTGGGCATGGGGGATTCGCATTCGGGAATCTAGGTGCTGGCAGAGGAGAGGAGTGGCCCGATTTGGAAGAGCACAGCCACTGGGGCGACAACAACTGCTGTTGACCATATGTGCTGGGTGGGGGTGGCAGTATGCGATGTCAAGACGTGGGCTTGGGAGGCAAGCAACAACAGACTGACGAGGAAAGTATGGGCGAAAGAGCGAAAAATGGGGAAGAAAAGCAACCGATCTGGTGGACCAATGGTATGGGCTCGGCGGCACGTCAGATAGTACGAGAGCAATAACGATTGCCCAATTGGGCGAGATGGCCTGCACGTTATCATCAGCTTGTATTTATTGCTGGTGCCGAGCTGGCTCTATGCAGAATAACAATGCTGCGACATCGTGCAAGCCGTTGACGACAGCATCGCAGCACACTAGACTAAGTACTTAGTAGAAGTGCTACACGAGCAAGAGTCGATTCAACGCCGAGACGGTGTTTGCCGTAAGGGTCCAGTGCGATTCAATTTACAGTTCAAGCCTTCTTCCCTCTTTCGCTCCTCCCACCACCACTCCCACCATCCCAGCCATGTCCCTCCGCAACATCCTCAACGACGACGACCAGGCTCCCATCCCCTCTTCCTCCCTACCCAGACTTCCACCACACTCCTTCACCCAACCGCACACCGGTCTCCAGTCTTCCATGTCGTTCCCAGCGCAACCCCCCTTCGCCCATTCCACCGCATCGATGGATCTAAACACCGTTATCGACCCCGTTCTCCTCAATCAGTCCACCTCCTCATACTCCCAGCAGCGGCCACTACCCCCACCCCTCCAGGACTCGCCTCACCAGCCGGACATCTTCTACAACATGCCACCTCACTCGCACGGCCCGCCGCCAGCGCCCTTCATCAACAGTCACCGCCATTCCCCGCCCGCCAACCTAAAAATCCCGGGTACTTCAAAGTTTCGCCAGAACGGTGACTCCCATCTCACATATGACACCATCATGCTCCCGCCAGAGAGCAGCCCTTCAGGCGTGGTCGCCCAGGCATGGAATACGCATCGTCTGCCTGAGCCCCCGGCGAGCATGCGCATGGCCAGTAAGGATCGTACATGGGTGCAGGAGGACCCCTCGCGTCGCAAGGGTGACCGCAGGTGGGTCCAGGAGCTCCCTGCGCATAGGTCGCGCAAGGACTCGCAGTCTCGACGATCGGCATCGCCACCTGAGCAGGACGAGGTCACCCCCGAGCCGCTTCCACCGCCGCCACCCAAGAAGCGGCGCAAGGGCGCAACGTACCAAGAAGACGATCAGCAGCAGCAACAGCAATCACAGAAGCCTGTGGTGCCTCGGCGCGTAAGTGTAGTTGAACTTGACGCGTCAAAGGATCTGAACATGTTCAATTGATAATGATTGTGTATAGACTGCCCCTCCTCGGAAAGCAGCGTCAAAATACAAGTCTCAAGTAGCTGCCGAATCGTCTCAAGAGCTATCAGCCAGCCCTGAAACCCCCGTGCCGTCTATGGTGGACTTGTTGTTCCCTCAGTATGCTGATGCAGACGATGACAGGCATTCTCAGTCTACCTTACTTGATGATTGTCCTGAGATATGGAGTGCTGAATGCGACAAGTACATCCTCGAAACGCAGAGGCGCAGAGAACAAATAGAACAATTATTTGCCAGCACCGTAATAGTATGTATCGCGATATGGCTTCCCATACGGTTCGCTGATGAATACTTTCAAGCAACGCAATGTCAACACAGCGCAGCGACTGTCAGAAGCTTATGCGCAGAAAATTGCCGGGATTCCGACTCCCGTACCTACACCGCCACCACGCTTGTTTGTCGAAGAGCGATATCCTGCCTATCCTGAGCAGGTCGA